TTAGCTGCTGCATCGCACTGTTGACTCATGTTCAACTTGTGGTCCAATAGGGAAAGCCTGCAGTATTTCACCTGATGTAACTGCATGTTGTGTAAACAGACAGCATCGGTGTCAGGGTGGGAATGGGATTCTTTGTCCATGCAGACAAGGGCCCCTGCCTCTATCACTATGGGCTGATTCTGTGCATTTTTCGGACAAAGGAAACTAATATCTTCATTATAAATTCTTTTTGTGGCTTATCATCCCCAGCAACCACAAGATAAAAAAGAATTGGAGTATTAACTGGAGGCCTTATGTTGTGAGTCTTCCCACTCCCACCAGCAGCTACCATTTACACGTGTAAGGAAATGGTGGAAAATCTAAATTACATTGCGGCCAGGGTCCATGGATCTGCATTTAAGATCAGCTTTTCTTTTCAGATGGAAGGTGTTCTGAGAAATGCTCTACAGCGATGCTTTTATCCTGCGGACCAGCTGCGTCTATGGGAGAACATTTGAACTGCTTACAAAACTTCAACCCACAGAGCAGTGGTAAGGTGAAGGTGATCATCTGTGAAGGTTTGAATTTCTGACCAAGAACGGAATAGCCCCCTTGTTCTAGGATTTTCATTGTTGTTGGCTGTAACTTCATCCCTTAATGGGAACAGCGCAAAATATTATTTCTCCATGTTCTAGGAGTGAAACTGGCCACACTCGAAGTTTCGCAAAACAAAGTATCATTTTTGTGGTTTTTTTCATGTATTTGATACATATTTCATACTGTGCACTTAGAAAAATGTATTTTATAGCTTTTGAGTCATTTTGAGTCATTTCCTATATTGGTGTTTTGTTATTTATTCTATTGGGTTCTAAATTATTATTTTTTAAAAAAAACACACCAAGCATTTCTGACATAAATTCAAGGTTTCCTACATGATGGTGTTTAGAACAACTGCTTATGACAGTATTGCCACAAGTGAGCATTGTGCTTGCCTTATTTGGAAAACCAAATGGAAATAATTTCAATGTAATACAAGTTGCACTCCGGCATCACAAGTAGGACTATAGTCTATCATATCTGATGAGCATTAGCTGGGCATTGGGAGCCCTTCATCTCCAAAACATAACAATAGTTAAGAATGAAAGAGCTATTTTTTCCACTACTCTTCTAAATGACTAAAAGATAGAATGCTATCAGAAAATGTGGCAAATCTATATTAATTATTATATTATTGTATATTAATTATATTATATTATATATTAATTCATGTCAGAGCAGAACTGTAGGTATTCAGACAATGGGAACCATCAAATGCCTACAGGAAATGGAGGTAATATCAATCCACAGGTTTATTTGTCTCTTGGATTTATATTCCTTCGTTCTTCCAAGAGTGGGACTCTGGTAGAGTAAAAACCAGAGAGGGCTCCTTTAGTAGACAAAATAAGAAGTGTTTATATGCCTTCCTGTTGAGCGCACCCATTGGCCATATTACATAAGTCAAGTATTTCTAGTACCTGATGGATCATCACACAGTTATGAATAGAGTCATGACCACAGTCAGTAGCTTACAAGTGTGTAATTTGTGGGTGATGATACACTTTGGTTTCTGGAAATCCCAAGGGGGCTGGCCCAGGTCGCATTCCCTATTATATTATGATGAGGAGGAAGTTGTTGTTGCTGTTGTTTGTTATTGTTGTTGTTGCTGTGTGTCCTTTCCAACTTATGGCAACCCTAAGGCAAATTTATCACAGGATTTTCTTGGCAAGATGTGTTCACAAGAGGTTTACCATTGCCTTCCCCTGAGACTGAGAGCATATGACTTGCCCAAGGTCACCCAGTTGGTTTGATGGCCAAGCTGGGAATCAAACCCTCACCTAACTGGGGATAAACTGTAGGACATACCTGAGTGCTTTCATAAAAAACTTATTTTGTTATTGCTCTCTGCCTTCAAGTCATTTCCAACTTATAGCAACACAGAGACAAACATATCACAGGGGTTTCTGGGGCTGAGGATGTGTGACTCACCCAGAGTCCCTGAGTGGGGAATCGAACCTTGATCTCCGGAGTTGTAGTCCAGGACTCAAACCACTATATCACACTGGCTTTCAAAACCTTATTACCATGTATAAATGTATTTATCGTCAGACTCATGTGAGACTTGCTGGAGCAATGAGATGCTGTGTTAGAAGGGAAGCACCCTTCTCTAGAGGGCCTTTTAAACTACTGAATTATAGTGCTACGATTCCATTCGAACTGCCATGACTCCATCCTATGGAACAGGGACCGGCAACCTACGGCCCAGGGGCTGGTTAAGGCCCCGGGCCCCGGACTTTCCGGCCCAGGCCGAAGGTTGCCGCCGCCGCCGCGGCGTGCCGCCATTGGGGCGCGTTTTCAGCCGCATTCACTGCGATCACCATTTTGGAAGTGAAAATGGCGGTCGTGGCGCATTTGCGCATGCGCAGTACCGTGGCGGCTGCGTCCGCCATTCCCCCCCCTCGGCCCAGCCGAGACCTGGGCTACGGGAGACCGGCCCAGGTCTCAAAAAGGTCGCCTGTCCCTGCTATGGAATCATGGAATTTGTAGCTTAGGATGGTGCGTTTAGAGTTCTCAGCTAGAGATCTCTAGTGCCTCACCCAGTTTTTCATAGGAAGCAGCCATGGCAATTAAAGTGGAATCATAGTGGTTTAATTGTATAGTGTAAAGGTGGTCATTGAATAAAAATAGCATGCTAATTAAACTGTGAGACTGCTGCATCCACACTGCAGAAATAGTCCAGGTTGACAACACTTTAACTGGCATGGCTCAATGATATATAATTCTGGGAATTGTAGTTTTGGAAGACATTTAGCCTTCTTTGTCAGAGAGCAATGGTGCCACAATGAACTACAGCTCCCAGAATTTCATAGCGTTGAGCTATGTTATTCAAATTGCCAGAGTCCCAAGAGGACACCCACAATCAATAAGGGGAATTTTATTATCTCAATTAAAGCTTCTGAGAGGGTTTGGGCAATTAAAACAGGGATCAAGCCTATATATATACCAGTTCCAAGAAACAGAACTCCAGAATGCAAGGTCCAGATATTTTATTTGCACATCAAAGGAAATCGCGGTTTACACAAAGCACACTCTCTCACACACACTTTCAGGAACTAACAATATAAAAGGTGGGAACAGATAGTGACTTGAGGGATTGTAGAAGGTAATACTGTATTGATTCCAAAAACAGAGGTTCCAGTCCGAGGACCCTGTGAGATGGAAGTGATTCAGTATGCTGCCTGTGGAGCTGGAGTGTCCAATGGTTGCTGAGGAGTCAGGTGAGATAAAGTCAGAGTGTCAGTCTGATTTTACAACAAGGCCAAATTGGTAGTGTTTGGGAAGGATATTTATGGGATAAAACATATCACAGGGCAGATTTTGGAATTAAAATTAAGTTTCCAGAAGAGAAGAATGAGAAGGGAACTTGTAAAGAGACAGACAATCAGTGCAAATGTCTCTGGACAATTGAATATCTCTTTCAGAGGGAAGCGTACTTATTAAATCTAAATGCAAGATATAAATGCAGTATTTCTGCAGTGCGGATACTGCCTTACAGAAAAATTTGCTTTCTTTAGTTCACACAGTGCATCATGTCATACAATTCCCAGCTTTCAGTGCACAGCCAGGAAGGAGGGAGACCTGCTAGGTAGTTCAAGGCAAACCATCCTTAGAAAGAGGGATCAAGGATTTCTTCTTGTGGTAGTATTTACAGTCACTCAAATAAGCATCTCATTCACTCACAACAACAGTTCCAAAATAACTTTGGACAATGTCATCTGCACATTAGAGCACAGATTCAAAGCAACTAAACATTTGTTTTACATTTTGTTCAGTCCTAAAGTATGTGACACTAGAGCCTGGGGAACAGGAAAAAGCTTCTAAATGCTTACTTCACAAGCATCTGAGAATTTCCCTTCTGAAATGTGGTTTTCAGAAAAGAATATGAAGTACCCTCACTTAGGTTATTAAATTACATTTTACAAAAAACAAAAACAAAAAACCCTGCAACTATTTTTTTTAGTGAAGCATGCATAACCCTAGAGATTTTTACATTACGTTAATTTGATTGATTGATTGATTGATTGCACATTGCTAGTGACTATCGCAGGAGTTGAAGTGTTAGCAAAGCAGCATTCATCAATAAGTGTTATGTATGGGGCATAAACAATTAAGCCACCTAGCCATTTAGTTGTACCTGCAAGAGCGATTTATCTTTGGAGACAAATTTATTATTTTGCAGTAAAACAAAAAACAAAAAAAGGGATTTGAAGTCAACTGGTGTAATAATCTAGCCTGCAAAAGTAATAATAATAAGCCCACTGAGATGTTGACATGATTATTCCCTTATGACTAAAAAGTTTCAAAATACTTTGGGAGACTAAGTATTTTGCAATGAAATTGACCAAAAATACATATATTCAGATTTGAAGTCAATTGGCCTAATATTTGCAGCCACATTTGCCTGCTAGAATAGAAAAACAGTAACACTGAGACATTGACACTATGGGCCTTTAAGCAGGGGTAGGCAAACTGTCCCCTTTAAGGGCTGAGGGACTTCAGCTCCCAGAATCCCAGACTATTGGCCAACATCCTAGACTATTGGCCAACATGGCTGAGGCTTCTGGGAGCTAAAGTCCCTCAGCCCTTAAAGGGGACAGTTTGCCTACCCCTGTGACAGACTGCCAGAAATAATGCAGCTTGAGGCCACTATAAGGGTCCTGGCTCAGTGCTAAGGAATCATCGGAACTGTAGTTTATTGTGGCACCAGAGCTCTCTGACTGAGAAGGCTCAATGTCCCAGAAAAATATACAATTCCCATGATACCCTAGCACTGAGCCAGGACAGTTAAAGTGACCTCAAGCTGCATTATTTCCGGCAGTCTGTAAAGGCCCTTAAATTCTCTTCTTAATGACCAAAGGTTTTCAAAATAGCATGCAATCTCATAAGACTCTTAAACTGGATGTTGTTATTAAACAAAAGGAGTAAATGTTATATTCTTTTTTGAGGAATGCAGAATTTGTAACAGTAATTTAAAATCGAAACAAACTTTTTCACACTTGCCCCGACTGCACTCAGTGCAGGGCTTTTTTTTGGGGGGGGATGACAAAAAGTCCACTTAAATAGCACATCTGGCACCAGACTCCTCAGTGGTTCTTTTTTTTAAGAGCCACAATTATCTGCATCTTCAATAGTACTACCGAATTGATTCAGATTGTGCTGCGTCATTCCCAGAAATGGAGGTGCCTCCATTTTAAATCGATACGATGGCAAATGTGAACAGCAACAGGGTTAAAATGACACAGAGAGATTTGACCATGGTAAACATAGTGGGAATACCAAATGGATTCTGAATCAGTTCTGAATCGGCATAGAGATGCGAATCTCTTTGTTCAAAAAAGTAGTGTGAATGACCCCTCAGTATAGCCTTTGCTATAAAATACAGACATAGACTGTAAGAAACATGAGCCAAGGGAAGCTAGATGTAGTAAAAATGGAAATGGAACATATGAACATAGAAGTATTGGAGTGAGTGAGTTAAAATGGACAAGAATGGGCCACTTTGAATCAGACGACCACACAGTGTTCTACTCAGGGAATGAAAAGACACAAAGAAATGGGGTGGCTTTCATATTAAGAAAAGATGTGGCAAAAACAGCTAGAGGATATAATTCTAAATCAGATCAAATCATCTCAATAAGACTCCATGGAAAAACCTATGAATATCACCACAATTCAAGTATCTGCACCAACCACAGAGGCAGAACAGGAAGAAATAGATTCTGTGAAGGACTATAGCAGGGGTTGGCAACTTTTGTTGCTGGGAGGGGGGGATGGCGCGGGAGCTGGGTGTGTGTGTGCGCACTTGTGTGTGCGCGCATGCACACTTCCGCTTGCGCACATGCTCATGACGCCCGTCATCATGCGCATGGGTGCGCCCATGGGGAGCGCCATTTTGGAATGCCCCTGCATGTGCGC